ACCTGTGCCTCGCACACGCGGCGTGCCGAGGGCAGTACCTGGCACCAGGTGTGCTCTGCTCCGTACGCCTGACCCTCCCATTTTTCCGTGTTTTTCTTTGCTTTCTGGCTGTGCCAGCAGACTGTGACAAAAAGCTGACAGAACCGGGCTGAGCCGTTCGCACCGGGGGGACTCAGCCCTGGGGAATCGCAGCAGTGTGTGTTGGCTGTGGCTGGGAGATAACTCTCAGGGCAGGAGAGGCAGGGGACGGAGCAGTCTCTGCTGTCAGCCTCCTCCGGCGGTTTCTCCAAGCCGCAGCGTTTCCTGGAGTATCGGTTTTCTCCAGGCGCAGCGTGGAGGATGTCGACATGGCTTTGCTAGGTGTGCAACCGGTGTGTGCCAGCACGAGAGGCTCTGGTTCCGTGAGGAAGTGGTTGAGTTGTAACCTGGGCAGGTTACAACTTGTCACGTTGGACTCTGCTGTGCTCTCCTTCCCCAGCAGCCCCGGGCTTAATTCACCGGGGTTACTGAGCTCCATAGCTTGGGGGGAGCTAAAAAATCCTCCTTGGAGCAGAGTGCTCTCCAACACCTCAGCACCTAAAGAGATTAGTCTGGGAGCTGGTTTATTTTGGTATCTGCACACCTTAAAAGCCATTCCAGTACCGTTGTTAGTGTTGGGCTGTGTCTGGGTGAGGAGATTGGTGCTCTGGTTTCCACCAACCCGGCAGGGGGCTGGCATGGCACCAAAAGCCGCTGGTTACTGCACCATAATTAAAACATACCGTTGTAATTCATGGGAATGATGCCCTCACAATCTCCTGGGCTCTGCAAAACCAAAACTTAAGGCAGGCTTGCTCTTTTAATCCTGCCCTGGGGTGAGTAAGGCATCCTTGTGCCCACGGGAAGGAGAGTCCATCAGAGCCATGAATAGGGTCTTAGAAAAGCCTGTGCTTGTCAGGGAAATAAAGGCCAGATAAAGGGGCAATTAGCAATGTTCTGTATTCAGTGGAAACTGGTGCATATAATAGCAGCATTTGAGATGTATAAAGCTCTGTTCCCCCTGCCCGACTCCCTTCTTTCCTTGAGAATTGTTCTTATGAATTGGAAAGGCCATGATATTTGTGAGGAGCTGAAAAAAAAGAAAAAGCCCCTCCACCCGGGGCTCGGGGGCAGCTCCCAGCACAAAGGGCTGTGGGAGCCAGGGCTGAGCAGTTGTGGCAGCCCTGGGACGTGGCTTTGCCTTCCCTTTGCTGGGCACGTGGAGCTGATCTGACTGATCTCTCCTTCCCAAATTGTTTTCCAGTTGCCTTCCTGTCAAAGCCTCAAGGCCTCGTTACTCCCAAGAAAAAAGGCAACGGCAATAAAAGAAGAAAAGGCAAAGGCCTGGGGAAGAAGAGAGACCCGTGCCTGCGGAAGTACAAGGATTTCTGTATTCACGGCGAGTGCAAGTACATCCGAGAGCTGGGAGCTCCCTCTTGCATGTGAGTTCTGGTGTGTGGCTGTGAGGGGGAGCCTTAGTCATGGTTCTTTCAATTCTCCAGGCCAGGCAGAGCAAAAGCAGAGATATTTTTAGTGCATGTTCCCTACCCATGCAGGGACAACTCTGACTTGGCCTCTTCCTTGTAAATCTTGAGAAGTGTCCACCCCTTCCCCAAAGCCTGTCATGGCCTTAGGGCCAGGGTTCCCTGTCAGCACAGTGAGTTCTGGCTGTGCTGGGGACTGCAGAATGGTGTGTAAGGTTGGTATCTGGCAGCTGAGGGCTTCTGCAGGTCTGATTTGGGAAACCTCATCCTGACCCTGTAAATGCCCCACTCTGAGACCTCTGGGCTCCTGTATCTCTCAGGGCGCATCAGTGCAGGTGGGAAGAGCATCTCTGCCATGCCACCAGCAAAGCAAAGTGGAGGCAGCACCTTTGGGGACAGGCTGCCAAAGCCATGCCCAAGCTGTCCCTTGGCCTGATGAAGGACAGGGCTGTGTACCCCTCCTTGCCCACCCCCCTGGGGTGCAGAGCAAGCAGGGACTAGATGGGGCCAGTGAAGGAGAAAGTATTTGCCTGCTGCTGGGGCACCTGGATACAGCACTGCTGCTGCAGGAAATACCCTGGGGTGCATATTTGATCCCCACTGACGTGGGCAGGACTTGAGCTGGCAGATATGTAAGAGGCTTTGTTCTTCACTATCAATCCTCTGAGCCACCCAGCCTTGAGCCCAGGGAAGATAATAGCTCCTTGGCTTATGGTGCCCACAGGATCTGCAATCTGCAGGGATCAAGCTCCACAGAGCTCCTCTAACTCCCTGGTTCCTCCCTGTTGAAGCTGTCATGAAGTTGGGCCCTTGCATGGGGGACTCGGGACTGCCAATGAGGGGGCATCTTTGCAGGCTCAGCTTGGGTTGGTGACCCAGCACAATGTGGGTTGTGACACCCTGGCCTAGGACTGGGACAGCCAGGTATTCCCTGCCCAGATCCCTGGGGCTGGGAGAGAAACTGGGACACAGACAAGCAGCAGGGATTTGGGGGCTGGCTGTGTCTCTTCAGCATGGTGGTCTGTCCCTGGGTGACATCTCTGAGCCATCAGTTTTTAGTAGCAGTGGCCAACTGCCCCAGTCTCCTCTGCTGAAGAGATCTTGTGTTGCCTGGTGTCACTTGGTTGTGGCTGCTCTTGGTGCTTGGCTGTCACAGAGTCTCCTGGAGTGTTGCTTCCTGGGGCACAGGGTGGAATGAGGGTGCTGCTGGGCTGGGTCCTGCACCTCTGCCATGTGCCCAGCCTTGCTGCTGTGCCTGGGAGGTGATGCTGCATGCGGCATTGTGAGCCCAGGAGCTGGGCTGAGTCCGGCTTGGAGATCAGCCTGAGGGTCAGTGGTGCTGGATATAGAGGGATATATTTATCTGATTGCATCAGTGCAATGTGGCTCAGGGAGGGCTGGAAGCCTCCCAGCCTGTGTGGAGCGTTATTTCTGTTACATGAGCAACCTCCCAAGTCTCCAGGGATGGGACACCTCTGAGCTGGCAGGGTGTGCAGGGACATCCTGCTCCATGGGAAATGCTGGCCCAGCTGCCTCACTGCTCCCTTCCCACTCCTAGAGGTGTTCTGGGCAACCTGCCTGGGGGTGACTGGAAAGAGCACAGACCCCAGTGCCTTCTGCTGAGAGAGACCTCAACCTTTCTAGGAAACTTCACTAGGTGCAGGAGAAGCTTAATTTACCAGGCCAGTAGAGATGATGGTGACCTCTCAGCTCAAGGGTGTGGGGGAACAGGTAGGGTGCTGGTTGAGGCTGAGCACAGAGGCATTGCCTTCCCATGGGGTGTGGGGCATATAAAGACCTCCTGTCCTTGCTCACCACTGACCTTTGAGTTTCCTCCTTGCCCAGATGCCAGCCAGGCTATCATGGGGAGCGCTGCCACGGCCTCCTGCTGCCAGTGGAGCACCCGCCCAGCGCCTACGACCACACCACAGCCCTGGCCGTGGTTGCTGTTGTCCTGTCCTCCCTGTGTCTCGTCATCATCGCAGCCCTGCTGATGCTCAGGTGAGGGGGATGCCACTGAGCTCCCAGATCTGTGTCCCTGGCAAGATCATGTGCAAGAGGAAGGTGACAGAGGTTTCTCCATGCCCTGAGCATCTCTTTGCTTGGCCTCGCAGGTGTCACAAGAGGGGTGGCTACGATGTAGAAAACGAAGAGAAAATCAAGCTGGGCATCACTGTGAATCACTGAGGATGCCAAGTGCTGGCAAGGTGAGCCCCTGGCTGGGCGTGGGGCTGGTAGACATCTTGGGGCTCTGCTGTTTGTGCTGAGGGTCTGCTGTGTGGATCCTGTGCCAGAGCTAGGCAGGAGCTGAAGGCAGCCTGAGTCTGGAGTGGCAGCTGGCTGAGAGTCTGGGCTGCCCTGTGGAGCTCCAGTCTTCTTTTCTCCCCTTCCTGCTGAAATCCTGTCCCCTGGCATTCCTATGTCCTTCTTTCTAACCCCAAGTCCCTGCTCTGTGCTGCTGTTCCATGCTTTGGAGATGTTTGGTAGTAGGGAAGCTGCTTCTGTTTTGTTTAGCTTTTTCCCCTTGCTCATTCTGCTCTCTCTCTGACCCTCTGAGTCACTTCCCCTCCTTAGATATCGCCTCTATTTATATACATGTGTAAAAAACCCCTTTCCTTTTCATTCCCACTCTGCTTATTACTTGCACCAAAGCAAGGCCTATCAGCTTGGCAGAGGGGCATCTTGCTGCCAGCCCATGCCATGTTCTGGCTGGGTTGGGATGTGTGCTCTGCCCCAGGGGTGGCTCTGGGGCAGGGTGCTGAAAATCTGTCAAACTTCCTCTGATCTGACCTAAACCCTGACGTTAGATGTAGTCATACATATTACAG